GACAATATTGAATAGGACTGTATAAGACAAGATTCAATAGTAAAAATAATTCTTCGGTCAAATGGAATTAAATAACAATGGAATATTATCAATTTAATTTAGTGCCAAATTTTCACATCTGATTCAGACATTCAAATTCATGATAAATTTTTTGACTAACAGTATAGATTCACCTTTTCATAGATTGTATCTTTGTCATCTGGATCAGCATTTGACATTTTTTGATCAAGCATTGAATTCATCCTGTTTTGAATGATTCCTAATACTTTCCACTTCTTCAATACATCATTACTAATTACTGCACACCTTCCGATCATTTTCCATTCTGAACGTTAAAATTGGTCGTCCTGTAAAGAATTCCTCATTCATTACTACAAATATATAAAAAATTGATTTCACGCAAATGACGTAATGTAATCCAGGTAACGTGGAACAAATTAAATACATGTAGAAGTAAGAAGGCAGCTTATATAACATAAACGTAATGCAATGATTTGAGCAACGTGTTCGTTAACTAAACCTGAGGAATGTAATATTCACTTATTACGACATTTGCGCATGTATAACACTACCTCGATTTAAACTTCGTATAATGCGATGTTAGTTTAGTGCAAATTATAAAATGCGCAGTATAACGCTAATCAAAGTAGTGCTATTCACATGAAAGGAAAAAAATCCAATAAGTGGTCACCTCAAATAACTTGTCATCGAACATCACCATGCTATCATCATCTTATCCATGGAATGATAAGGAGTCTACGTGTACGTCTAACTCACCCTACAATATTTCACGTAAGTGACCATCTATCGCGTCAATCTCCGAGGGAATAGAAGAGACTATCTGACTTTTCCCTCCACTTGAATTCCCGCTTTCAAGTGCAAACTCAGCTATACAAATGCTTCATCCCAAACATTTCCAGTTGCTTGGAGTTAACCAGAAGATCTCGGGTGGTTTGGAGTATTTCACCGAGAAGTCTGGGAGAGTGAGCAAGAAATGTGAGGTATGTTAAATATGTCCTTGCATTTACCGGTATATCCCGGACATATGAGACGGCTTGTCACATTTTGCTATTCGTTTACACTATCATCCATCATACGCGAGTGATGTACACAGTCTCATATACATGTATCCATTACTCATCAGTGACTTTTCGATATTTCGTTGACGTAACATACTGTCACATTTTTAAATACATTCTAATTTACCGTACTATGGTTACATGAAAGCCTTTCTAGTATACTGTCAATAAATGCATCTTTTTGATCTGAAAATATTTCCGGATTTGGAGCTAACCGGTCGATTTGGAATACCTGGTTGATTTCATCATTGTAGGAGGAATGCTGTATTTTCTTTAACAAAATAAAAACAAGCCATTATTGTGATTTTTCTTATTGCAAAATAAAAGGTACATATTTTGATTAATTTTTACTAAAATTCAACCTTTAATGCATAATCCTAATTTTTATAACTAAAATGATCAATGAATTGTTGGATCTTTACATCAGGAGAACGAGGAAGGATGTGATTTTGAGTAATTTTTGAATTTAAGCTTAATAAAAATGTATATTATTTAATACTTTTCATCGATATGCAAATATTTGCCCTATACTAATTTCAGGTTATTTAGGACTACTCATAAGAATATTAATAGGAAAAAGGTACGGAAAGATATAACAACTTTTTGGTGGTTTTTTTTCCTTCATTTATTTATAAATTTAATTTCAGTTATAAATATATTTCATCAGAAGAAGATGTATACTGATATTAGAAATCTGTTCCTGTCACCTGTACCACCAGGACCAATCGTTCCGGTGCATGAACTTCTCAGAGCAGGGCTTATTATCACGCTGTTTATTGTAACGCTTCTAGCTTGCTCCGTATGTTATATATATATTTTCTTTTCCTTCGTATTTTTCTTTTGTTTCTTATGCCAAAAATTTAATGTATTTATGATTACTGCACAGTTCATCGTATGTTTAGTTGACTTTGATAGTTGACAAATATTGATTATAATTTACAGTTTGCATTCCTGCTTCAACGCGTGGCGAACAGAACAACCGGATTCGGGCTAGTACTCTCTCTGATTTCTGTATTTGGTGGTGGTGTATTTTTGGCTACATGTCTATTAGATCTGTTACCGGATGCAAAAGAAAGTCTTAGAAGAATTGAAAAGATGCAACACATCTCTTATACCTATCCAGTGATGGAAATTTTTGTGGCTGTTGGGTTTCTGCTGGTACTTTCAACTGAACAAGTAATTTTTGATCTTTGTTCAAAAGTTGGCATTCATGCTTTTCTCGATAATTATCCCTCCTCTATCTTCTTTATAATGATAAAAATTTGTTAATAAACCAGTAGCCTATTTCTTCTTATAGTAAGAACTGTGTATTCGTCCGCATCCCTAAGCATTTCTACGAAACTTTATTTTTTCTTTTTTTTTAAACTTTAGTCGATTAACTGAGAACATGCTTTTTTCACCAATTGTCGTCGGTCATCATACCGTACAGAAGTTCCTTTGTCTTTTCTTTCAAATTATAAATTTTTTCAAAATTAGGTTATTGTATTTATCCGAGAAAAGCAATGCAACGGTTCCGCAGATCTGGACAATTTAATCACGGGACATCAAGATCACAACGAACAAAATCCTGAACTTGCAGATTCTTATCCGGAATACGGTTTATTGTTTGTATATATTATTGACTGTTCCCAGCTTATTTTATAGAAAGTTTTTATCACTACTAACTGTTTCTTCAGAAAATGAAGGATAACTATACTTGAAATTCAGAAAACGAAGTTAATCAGAGCTCCTTAACGCAGTCTCAATCGATATTACGGATTGTTTTGCTAGTAATGGTACTATCCTTACATGCTGTGTTTGAAGGCCTATCATTAGGCCTCGTTAGTGGCATGAGCGAAATTATGCAGGTGAACAATATTTAATTACACAAATATTTCAATGTTATTATTTCATTTTGGAATCCTGACTCGTGTGAACCTTGTCTTTCTAAACTACCAATAGGATCTCTCTATTCTGTTTTCTGGATAAGGAATAACATCAAACCAATATGACATTTGCATTATTCATTGGTCCTGTTTGTAGAACTTAATGATATTTAAATCGCATACATGCAGGTTTTCTTTGCGCTACTTCTGCACAAAACAGTTATTGGCTTTTCACTTGGGATTCGTCTTGTGCAGAGTGCTTTAAGTCTTACAACGGCATTATTATGTTCGACTGTCTTCGCTGCGCAAATTATTATTGGAGGTTTTGGTGGCATCGCTATCCTGGATCTCGTTAGCCGTGGATCACCACTTATTGCTAGTGCAGTTTCCTTCATCGCACAGGTAATACTGATAATAGTACTTTAAGTAAAGTTCAGCCTTACTTACATCACCTGACTACCGTTTGTTATTTAATGGAAAATTTGAAAAAATTTAAATCTCATTTCATGTTTTACGCTATATCCTGAAACGTATGGAAAAAATTGCTAGGAAGTTTTCGGATGTTTATAGCAAGAGACGGTATTGTCAGCACAAAGATTATAGAAGGTGAAATCCATATAAGTCAGAATTAGTAATTTATCCGAGAGAGAGAGAGATGATATTCGATCTTTTTGACTAATCCGAATCAATATTCATTCACAGGCAATAGCGTGCGGAACATTCCTGTACATAACTTGTTTCGAAATATTGCCACGCGAATTTCATCAAGGCCAGTTTCGTATCGCAAAACTCTTTTCACTAATTGTTGGATTTGTCTTTATTGCGAGTCTGATGGCTTTATTTCCCAACAGCTAAAACTGCTTCAACATGAAATTGTCTCCTGTTATCAAATTTATCATTATAAAGTCCTTCGCTACATGGTTTCACTTAACTAGTACCATATAAACCCTCCTGACAATTAACGCTGCTTGTCCAATGTATTTCTTGTTTCATGTATGTTAATGTATAACTGCATTTATGCAAAGTTTAAGTGGACGACCTGAATCAGCCGGCTAAATATTAGGAACTCTGAAATATTGGATAACTTAGATCGACATGTTTTCCTAATGCTGTATCTCTTCTATTAAACTGTCAGCAATTCTTACAAAGTTAAAGAAAAAGTGTATGATATATCATCGGAAAGCTTACTTGAAGTTAACTGTTTATGCATTAGTGATTTGTACATAAAAGCTTGTTTAACATAGTATTAACAAAAAATTGTCGTAATTAGTGAACCTTTCACAACCGAATATCATTCCTTCTATCGTTGAAGGAATCGTAGGCTACTGATCAAAAGACCACAGTACTAAAGAATTATCAAGAAGTTCCGGTGAATTTATATCCTCATATGTGCTTCCTGAATCAATATCATCCATTTGGTCGAGCTCAGGAAACGGAAAGACTCTTTGTCCACTGCAAGTAGCTACGATTGGTCGTTCTTTGTGAATGCTAAAAAAAAAAATTAGTTCAACTACTGCCATTTCCTCTTGAGAAGCACCTCGAAGCACATGCCACCTATACAATTTGTTTCATAACAAAATTCATTCTAATGACCCCCTTTCGCGAATTACATTTGCAATTAGTAATATAAAGCAGCAATGCTGATCTCTTCCCTCTTTCTGTCATTCTATTACCTCATCAAGCTTCTGTCCATTAAAAGGGGGACAAATGTTCTGTAAGCAATGACACAAACCTCACACCACATAATGCCGAATTATGCGCGGATAATCGGACATGGGGAGCTACCGGTTCATCACCGTTAGTGCATTTCAGATCAAAGATGTATAATTCACCGCTGCTACTGCCACTGAATAGATATGTCCCTGAGCTGAAAATCTAAAGATTTTAGGAGTCTCATCCTTTCTCAGCTTCCTCAAATGAATCTCTTCATATTTGCTAGCGTTTTAAGAGTAAATAATATCTTTTCTCTATTCTTTTGAGGTTAAATTACCAACTGCTAACAGACTATGTCGTACCTGTCTATGTCGAAATAGATACGCTGATTGGTTTTCGAAGGTCGGCTGTATAAGCTATATATCTTTCCAGGATATCGTAAGTCCCAGCAAATAATATCATCATCCTGAAATAAGTTGGACAGTTGGTAAAATGCTCGAAGAAAAGGGAAACAATTATACAAAGTAACTGTTGCAATTACATAAACAAATTAAAGCAATTACACAAAGTCGGATTTAATTTTTAATTTCTACTTCTTCCCCAACATTTCTTCCGTTAGCGTACTAACAAAAAGAAACATGAAAGATCTCTTCCATAAGTGATGAATTACGGGTGGAAACAAATACCTTTCTTCCCGCTGTCAGCAAGAAATTGCCATCGGGACTATAGCGAAGTAAGGTTACTGCCAGTGGGCATTCGAACATACATTCTACACTCGGCGAATAGTCCGAATAAAAGCCAACTAAAAATGTTTATATTGTTGACAGTTATTTCCAAGTGCTAGATCACCGTCATCATTATAATTTATTTGGCTACGCACTTGAACAAACACTACAATACTTGGTTCATTAAAAAAAAAGTTTGCTTTTGAACGAATGAAATGATATACCTGTTCTGCCATATGACCCAGCGGCATAATTTGTTGGTAATATGGGGCTGACAGCAATACAAGAGATAATACCCCTCTGTCCCTTCGACTCTTTATCTATAATAATATGGAAGTGGACAAGAAACGCTTAGTTCAAAAGGCAGATCAACAGTTGAGAAACGGTCACAGTTTGGTAGTGATATGTTGGAAAAGTAACCAACTTACTCCATGTAGTCAGTTCGGAAACTTGATGTCCAGGACGATCCATATCAAACTTCCTGATACAGCTTTTGTAGCCAGCATATAAACAGGAACCGTCAGAAGTAAAGCACAAAGAGTAAGCATTATCCAATTCATCCTGCAATTTTTCAGTATCAGTAAGCTTGCGTGGAATGGTCTTAAGGCAGAATCGATCGCAGAGCCACTGAAGGAAAATGACGTAATTAATTTCTAGTATGGATTGAAAATCTAAAACAATTATTGTGCTCTATTTCACTAAACAACATTATTCCATAATATTGTTGAAACTGGAAACTTACCAGATTATTAATACCACGAAATGTTGTCAACCATCGTCCGTCTGAATCCCACACATGGATTGGATGGTCCTTGCTACTTGTTGCTAACCAGTCACTGATCGGATGCCAGCATGAATCATAGATCAAATCACCCATACCCATAGAAGATTTAAGTTTCACCTTGAAAAAAAAACCATAAAAATTTAAGGTATGCAAGAAAGAAATGGCTTCTACACTTAATGCAAATTTTTTTTTTTTTTTGTAAAAATATCACGAAGTTAGAGAAGATATAAATACTTGAAATATTCCTCAGGATGGGGTGTAAAACGTACAAATATATAACGACAGATTATATTTGGGTACAAATTAAAGAAGATAATGCAGCAAAAAATGGGTGAAAATCAACCTTGAGATTTTCAGGGTCAAAGTGGAATATCCGAGCTATCCTATCTTGACTAGTCGTAGCTAAATAACTACCCGAACTGCTCCATTTGCAGCTTTTTATGTAGTTGTTGCAGGAATGTGACATATTGAAACCATAATCGACAGACTTCGTTACGAAAAGTTCTCTTTCCCTAAACACCTCTTTGAAATTTGAATACTGCGGTCGTGCAGTCTTTCTTGGTATTTCTTGATCATCATCGGTCTTTCGACTCTGCAAAATTTCGTTTCATTTGCTGCGTGTTTCCTGAATCCTAAATAGTGATAACCTACACTTTGATAATTGATATTGGGAGATGCTTACCCAAAATCCATCCATCCAATTGGAAATGCCTTAAACTACTGATATCTGGGATTATGCAAACAATGTGGAACAGTGAGAAACTTATATGCACAAAAAGAGATTTAAACGATGGATTAAATACCAATTATAATAGCTGTCCCAAGCACTGTAATTCTCACCGTAATATTATTTGAGGAAATATTATTATTTCCTTTTTCTGACAGTACATCCACACTTCTTTTTCTAGAGGACATACACTCTAATCGAGAATCCTGAAAAAATACATAAGACTTTTCAGTTCTTTTCTTTCCATTTCTTAAACTAGGCAATAAAAACATGATAAACAAGGAGCAAAGACAATTGCGCACGAACCTGTTTAAGAAAGGCAGCAATACCCATACGATAATGTCTTGCTGTCCAATTGTCACCTTCCTCTTCACTCACGGGTGATGAATCTACTGCAGAATCCTTGCTACTAGAATAAATGGGTTCCTGGAAAAAAACATTTCAAAGTATCTGTTTGAGTTACACCACTATTTCCTGTTCCTTCGAAGAAATCCTACTATCTTCCTTTCGATTTCTAAGAAACCTGAAATATTACTAACACATGCCCAGGAATTATTCAACAGCATTATGTCAAATATTTATAATTACGAAACGGTTTGTAAAACTAGTCACAAAACTTTTTAGCTGCTGTCAAAGGTCCAATTACAACTTTAAAGTACAACTACACAAGGAATCCTCGACTGCCTCAAAAATACTGGATTTTTTGGCATAATTTTAACCACTGTATGCGGAATGTAAGCAAAGAAATACATGGATTAACCAGAGGATCAAACCAATCACACCGAAAATTACAGAAGATGAAGATACAGGTAAGAGTACTTTATGCATCACTGATAGATCCTACTATCCTAGCAAAATCTGTTCCTAACCTTTACATCCTTATCGTTACTCGTTGTTATCACGTTATCAATCCCCAAAGAACCGTTACTTATCACAGTACAGAGCATATCGACAACTTCCTTTATCACATCGTTCACCGAATCATCTTCACTTCCATAATACATTAGCGGTACTTTTCTGCAAATTGCAATCATGCTTTAATCTATTCGGGATCCATGATCATAATCACAAATATTACAATGCATTCTCGCGTCATACCATAAATGCTAAAACCACGTTAACAAATCATCAGTATATCATCTAAATTAATCCGCTTTATTTCCTTATTGCATGGTACAAGTAAGAACGTATAAATATTCTGAACGGCTTAAAGATTTAAATAATTACTTCCTTCCATCTGTACAAATTCAACTGCTCAT